CCCTGATTCCTGGTGATATACGGTGAGCCCTGATTCCTGGTGATATACGGTGAGCCCTGATTCCTGGTGATATACGGTGAGCCCTGATTCCTGGTGATATACGGTGAGCCCTGATTGCTGGCGCTACACGGTGAGCCCTGATTCCTGGCGCTATACGGTGAGCCCTGATTCCTGGTGATATACGGTGAGCCTTGATTGCTGCTTATTTTCCAAGCAGCTCACCTGAGCCATTACCACCTGTGGCCCAGCACAGGAAGCAGCACCAGTAAACTACATCTCACCTCCCCATACATTCAGTAAGCTGTGCATGCTTTCTTTTTTGTACTGGGATGTTCTCCCAATAAGGTGTTGAGCATATGTAACATGACTGATTGCGTACTACACCTTCAGGAAACAAAAAGTCACTACGGCTGTACCCTCAAGGGTCTGCCAGTTCTACCCTAGCTGTAGGTAAATGTACCTTTTAAGTTACAGAAATGGATTCTGAGGATAATTTTGTACAATTGGGAGTACATTCATGTTGCTTGTACTTTGGGGAACAAAACTGTACCATGGCTGTATTCTATTTTCTGGAAGTGTATTAATTCATTACATTTCATACATTATGCAGTTTTACAATTAAGACATTGGCATGGCTGATTAAATAGTTCTGAGCAAGATGTTTGCAAGTGGGATTTGCCCAGAAAGTCTGCCACTGTATTCCTAAAAATCATAGCCAATTAAGAGTTATCTGAGGAGAACAGCTAACAGAAAGGACTGAGGAATTGGCATTAGATGTTACAAAGCATATTGTACTTTCCATTTTTAAAAGATGATGAAAGAGCTCATTTTTTAAAGTTTGAGTTTATTTCTAGACCTGCTGATGTAATCAAGTTCACATTTTTTGTGCCAGAAAACTACAGCTGAAGCCTGATTGCTGATATTTCCTGCCTGGGCTGACCTACCTTGGTGCCGGGATGCAGGTGCTGTCTCGTCTGCGGAAATGATGAGCAGAATGAGAGTGATCACCACGGAGTCGGCGGATGGAGGACCAGAGAGCAAGCTGTGAGTGCAGGAGCACTTTGCAGTGATATATGCCTCTCACGGTGGATTACTATAAATAATCAGCATGAAGAAGGGGGAGGGAGGAGCAAGATGGGAGGGGGCAGGAGCAGTCCTGTCTGGGAGCCAATGAGAAAGGGTCAAGGGGCAAAAGGGGGTGGGAGGGGCTTTAGGAAGGGAAAAGGGGGAGGGGGTAGAATGTCCAAAGGGGAGAAATATAATGATTCCCTCTATCTGTTCTTTCTACATCAATTAAGATGAGGTTTTTCTCTCTGTAGAATGGACCTGTGGATTAATTGAGTTGATGCTTGGACTTCGGGGCCTGGGACTGACCTAGAAAGGGAGGATATGTACAGTGTAGGGGTGAGGGGTCCCTCATGTACAGTGTAGGGGTGAGGGGTCCCTGATGTACAGTGTAGGGGTGAGGGGTCCCTAATGTACAGTGTAGGGGTGAGGGGTTCCTAATGTACAGTGTAGCGGTGAGGGGTCGCTGACGTACAATGTAAGGATGAAGGGTCCCTAATGTACAGTGTAAGGATGAGGGGTTCCTGATGTACAGTGTAGGGGTGAGGGGTTTCTATTATGGTCCCGAGTTTAATTCATTATAAATCACTGCAGAGTATGATGAAAAAAACAGAAGAGTCCCAAATACCAACACATAATTAAAACTGGCTAGAATCAGAAACAACTATTGCTTGATTGGCAACAATCAAATTATTTGTAGCCTAATCTGCCATCGGACACGTTTATAAGCCACTGTACCCTTCATGATAGGTGACCTATGGCAAAGTCCTCTATAATGCTATGGCTTTTAGGCCTATTAATGCTTATTGCTGGGATTGCACAGGGTTGGTAATAAGGTCTGACTGCAGCCTCTGGTGACCCCGTTGCATGCTAGTGCAATTATTGCGATTATCTGCTGGTCATTTACTTGTTCAAATGAACATTAAGAATGGAGGCAGTCTGGAGTAAAACAAAATCCTCCTACATTCTCATCTGCCTGGAGAAAAGGTTTAAAGGTCAATTTTGTTTTTAAATCTATTTCAATCTCACACCACAGCTTACTTGCAAAACACCGTGTGTAGATATTACGAACATTGAGTATCTCACCATTTATCCTGGTCGAGGTCACAGGGGGCCCTGAAGCAGGTTGCAATAGCACCCCCTAAAGGCCATAAAACAGTATAGCACCTACCCTTCTGCCATAGCTGCCTGCCTCATTTACCAGACACAGTTAGACATAAGCCACTGTAGCTTTGCTTAACTCTGTGGCTTGTCTGTGGCATTTAGTCTAAGTGGTTATACACCAATAACTACTAAATTATGCTAAAAGAGCATAACAAATGTTACAAACACCTTACGGGTGAAATAAGCTTGGTTTGACAATTTGTGAAATATACCCTCTACAGATGCTGTGTAACACAGGCACACCAACATCAACAAATCACCTTTTGGTTTGGGCCTTTATTCGATTTGTCCAAATGTACAATAAAAAAAAAAAAAAAAACAGTGGTACCAAAGGGCAGAAAACAAAATTAAAAGGAAATTAAAGAATAAAAATAAACAAATAACCCCCCACAAAACAAAACAAAAAAAATCTGGAAAGGGCCTCAAAGTGCGACTGTCTAAGAGACAGAAGAAAAGGGAACTGATCTCTGACAGACTGCGGTCCCGTCGGAGCCGCTGACGGCTACATTCTGGCCCTCACAGTGGTCCCGGAGCAGCTCGCATGGAACGGGGGACACCAGTGTGACTTGGATCGGGCTGTTCTGCAGGACACTAATAATTGCAAATCTCTCCTCCTCCTCCACGCTCCCCTTCCACAGCTGTTTCAAACGGCCATCTACAACTCTGTCTTCTTCTTCTTCTTCTTGGACTTCTTCTCATCTTCCTCGACTACAGGAGGATTGCGGGCCTCCTTCTTCAGATAGGAGATGAAGTCGGCGACTTCACGGCCACCCTGTGGACAGAGCAGCGGTCAGACCGTAAGGAGGGCATGCCATTAGAGGGCCGAATGCACCTTATGCGGCACCAAAACTGCCGGCACACAGACCTCATATCTCTTTGGATTCTGCTTCTGTCCAGCGGGAGAAAAGTATATTGTGGGGAACCTGAAACACGAGCAAAAGGCAAATCAGGTAGCGTGTAGACATGAGTCACACGTGAGCTTAGACAGCAGCACATCTTTAAGCACTCGTTTAACCCAAAAGAACAAGCGAGCGAACAGATGCAATGCAGTAAGAATCACAGCTCAATGACACAGACGAGCAGCTCAAGTTCCTTACCCTCTGACTTCATAAGGTGATGGCACGTCATTGGCAGTAGCATCCATCTTGGCTATGACAATATTGGGGTCCTGGGAAAGCTGTGACAAGAGGGGGACAGGGGGTAATTTAACAATTGAAAGGTTTACCCTACAAATCCATACATCATCTATACCTGCCTGTCCTATGCAGGGCTTTGGGGGTCTGGAGGGAATATCCCAGGATGGGGCACCAACTTACAGCAGAGCATACACAAACCACTCATGCAAACATTCACGCCTACAGGCACCTGGCAATTACAATTTACCTTAATGTATTTCTGGACTGTGGGC